CTGCAAATGTGGCACCTTTACATTGCTGGTTCACTAGTCAAAATATAATAGAAGATGTCGGCCTTTTTTGAAAGACTCAACTAAGATGCCTTGTCGTAAAACTCATGGAAATGCGATACATCTCTTTGCAGAAGCGCGTGCCCGTCTGGAAACGTCATGTCTTTCCGGCTACTCCTGTTGGGGTTCGTCATTCTTGATACATACCATTTTTTGAAGAGATTAATACTCCTTATAGAGCTCCGATCCGTTTGAACTGCCTTCTAATCTTACTCCAGCTCTCAAGCGGGTCAAATCAAGAGCGAAGCTACCGGCGAAAGGATCCGGTGCTACAGCAAGTCTGTCCAAGGTAGGGTTTACTATATCGAGACCTTTCAACAACAATTTATCAGTTGGGAGTTTTTTTTTTTTTTGAAGACAGCGCAGGTGTTCGATATGTTATTTCTTACATTTTTTTGTTCAGTTGACGACATTCAATAAATGCAGTTCTTTCTTGGGTGCCCCACCGCTAAGATGTAGTCCTCGGAAAAATCCAGCTTCGGTTGCAAAGGTAGTTCACAGTTTCGTCGTTTCTTGGTAGAAATATCTTATCTTCAGCCCAATCCGGACTGTGACGCTATTTTGAGTAAAGAGAGCTCTTCGGAAGTCTCTACGACTACAGTTCTCGGTAGCGACGACTGTAAAGCCGATGTCCCAACTCCATCTAGAGCAAGAGTAATCGGCGTTACATCTTATGACCAAACTATCTTCATGAACGAACGTGATGTTTTCAGAGTAATCTTTTCCCAACCTCTTTGCCACCAAAGAAACCTCGTCTTTCCTTTATGCACATGAGCACCTCAGAGCTCAGACCGAGCCGTAAGCCAGTCATCGTGGAGCCTAACTACGAGGTGAACCACTCTTACGTTACTCACAAGGGGAGTCCACTTAGTCGAAGTGGCGGTTTGGAAGGTGATATATATGATGGATGGAGCTTAAAACGCTAATTTCAAATACACCTTCCATATCTGCGACGCGTTTTTCTGTAGGAAGTTGTGGGTTGTATTCGTATGGATATGGACGTGTGGTCTAGGAAGAAAATGACGACCTGTAAACAACAACA